GTTATGCGGACCAATGGTTGACGTGATCCACCCGGAAATAAAAGATCGATTGCTATACCTTTAACTAAAAGATTTGTCACTGAATGGAAGGAAGCAGTATTGAGGAGGTTCAACTCTGGGAGACGCCGACTGCAGCTCTTCTAAGTGGTGAGTAAAGAAGATTTTTATTTAAAGGGGGTGTAATATTGTGATTGCTGTTGGTTGTACACACACACACACACACACACACACACACACACACACACACACACACACACACACACACAGCATTTTTACCTTGTTTTTATTTTTGAATAACTAAAATGAAGCATTTTGCCTTTATAAGAAACAAGTTTTATCAAACTGACAAACATGGATTTTATTAAAGTTATTTTAATAAAACATAATATTTAATTTGTTTTGAATAAGGAATATTCAAGTAAACATGCAAAGAAAAAAGTAAAGATTTACAAATTTATTGTGATAAAAAATTATTAAAATTACTAAAATTAAAAAATCCTGCTTTTGTTTTAAGGCCTACCTACCTGGTTACTCCACATACATATTTCACGAGCATTTTTAAACTCAGAAGTACCCCTGAAAGACTCAGTTGTTCGTCCTTCTATCAAAACTTCTTTTGAGCTTGAGAAGGTTTATGTTTCTCCGTTTATTATGGGAGTCCAGCAGCAGCAGCTTTGATGGAAACTGTTGCCTGTAGGTGGCGCCATTTGTCAGGAGTAAATAAAATATGCTCCAATTGAGAGAGGCAGAGAGAGAGAATGGTCATCTGATCTCAGTCCATCGTGTTTTTTCCGATGTTTTTTTCCCCGGGGGGGGGGGTCATTAGTGTGTGTGCGTGCGCGTGTGCATGTGTGCCGCAGGATGAGTGTTGTGAAGGGGTTTTCATTGTCAGACTGTTTTAAACATACTGGGGATAGGGGGGAATGTGGGTGTGCGGGGCCTTTTTAATTTGTTAAGCACTTTGAGTTGCATGCATTGTAGGATTAAGTGCTATATAAATAAAGTTGATCAATTGATTGATTGAAGGGAGTGAGGGGGGGGGGGGGGGTCAAGAGAGAGAGTTGGGGGAAAGTTAAACTTCTTACAGTAAAGAATTGTTTATTTAGGGTTTATCTGGTTTATCTTTGGCTTGGTTTCCAAACCCTGATGACATCATCACTGCTGCAGATTTTCCTATTAAAAGCAAACAGTTTTTATCATCAGGTAGATAGAAACAGGGGCGTAGGAATGAGTTTAATGTTGGAGGGAGACACATTTTGGAAATCTAACAGTAACAGATGTGTTGTAGGTCAATAGGTCAATATATAGGTCCAGCTCACTGAAAAAAGTACACTTAATGATTATTTCTGATTATAATGTGTCACTGAGTTTTTCATGCAGGCTGAACATGAAAATAGTTTCCTTTAGCTATCTCCTGCATTAGCTTCTGGTAGAAAATAGACGGTGAAACTCCAGGATTATTAAAGCCTGACAGATGTGACTCAGGGCGTAAGGCAAAGCCCAGAAAGACAAGAAAATAACTTTTATAGCCCAGTTCCCAAACTTTTTTTTTTTTTTTGCTTTGATCCCATGAGCCAACCAGAAGGGGAGGAGACTAGGCTCCCCATCAGCCAGATCCAGGTTTGATTACCGGCCAACGTGGACGTTTTAATCATTAAAAAGCTGTTTTTGTGTCAGTACTGTTTTATTTTTATTTAATAATAGGAATTTAGGATATATTATCTTATACATTTGGGTAGAGATGTGTAAACAGATTTAATACAAGACTAAAGCTGTGAATTTTCAGTCTCAATTGATCTGACTCTGATCAGAATATTTTAAACTACATCAGACAACAATGCTGACCAACAATCAGAAAAATCAGTTTGCTTCTGACAGAATGAAAAAAGAAATAATTCACTCACAACAACAGCTGGAACTAAATTATTTTTCAGACGGACAAAAGAAAAAATAGAGGCCTAAAATGCACCAGAATGCAGAGTTTAACACTTATTTTTCAAATATTTCTAAGGAAGCGTACAAAATTTATTTTATTCTTAAGCCGTACTGCCCAGCTCTATTTGTTATGGAATTACATAAATGAAACTGTGTTCACTTATTATCACATTCAAATCTTCCTCTCATCAGCCACTAAAACCATCTCACTCTTCACTGTAGCACCTACCTGCACCTCAGCAGGTCTGGCTCTCCCTGTCTCACACTCATCATCATTTTCCTGCTGAACTTCATCTGATCACTTATATAAAAAAAGTGACATGAATACGAATTATAGACAAATATCTAACCTTCCATTTTTATCCAAAGTCCTGGAGAAAATAGTGGCCATCCGAGTATGTGAGCATCTAAACCCTCATGATCTGTTTGAGGAATTTCAGTTTGGTTTTAGAGTATCACAGCACTGAAACTGCATTAGTGAAAGTTACAAATGATTTTCTCATGGTGTCTCAGAAAATGCTGGTTCTGAGAGGAAACTAAGGTGGGGTTTACTCATTTATGTCGTACATTGTAAATAAAAGACTAAAATTCTGTTTTATCATCATCATCATTTTACTGTATGTGTAGATCAAAGCCCTTCACAGACAAATAAAGAAAAGTTAAAACCATGAAAGCAAAATAAAAGCTGAAAAACAGACAAAACATTACAACAAAAGCAGATCCGTAGAAGTGTTTTTTCCACCCAGTTTTACTCTGAACATGAAACCAGATGGACAGAAAAGCACAGACAGGTTTTGGTTTCTTCATCAAACCCCAAATACCCGACCCAATCCAGGACGTCCAGGAAGTCGCTCCTCATGGAGTGGGGGAGACACAGATGACTCACCCTTTTACTCACATGCTGTTTCTGACACATTTAGAGTTTCCTAATTTAACTTCAGTTTTTTTCTTTACCACAGAATTTTCATATTTTTCTACTGTTTCTCAAGAGGGAAATTCCCATCAGATCTTAAAAAGTCCTCCAGCTGTCTCACACACACACACGTGTGTGTGTGTGTGCGTGTGTGTGTGCGCACACATGTGTGTGTCTATTTGTATGTATGTGTGTGTGTGTGTGTGCGCGCGTGTGCATTGGTGGCCTTTTTTCTAAAAAAACAAAACTTCTGTCTCTTGAAGCTGTTTTATTTCTTCATGCAAACCAACAACAGAAGGTTGTGATGAAGGTGTGGAAACACAACGCTGCGGCTGGGTGGTTTTTCTGTCGGGGGTCTGCTGACAGAAACAGTTTCATGTTCTGCTCGGCGTGGGTAAAGATCAACGTTGAGGAAAACCCTGCAGCAGACGCACTGAGACGTAGGTGGGTGAGGGCGGCATCATGGACTCCCATGGGAGCTGATGGAAATGGGCGAGTACAGAAGAAAGAAAGTTTATTTATAATGACTGTCAAAAACCCACAAGCTGAAACCCAAAGCAGCTGTGGGTGTGTTGGCTCTGACACGGCCAACAGGTGTATCGGCTCTGTTGGGTCTGTTTAAAACAAGCTGATAAGGCTTTGTGTCATTTGTGTTGGCAGGTGCAGATGCAGATAAAACACCTGTGCAGGTGAGGAGAGTTGGACCCTCTGAGGTCAGGTTGGAGGAACGGTTCATCACAGATTATTAATCCAGACACATTTGATCTTTCTTATCTTCCTAATGTCATACGAGTATGTGTACATGTTAGAGCAGCTCAGAGTACTTTTACTGTCCAGTTACTATTACTGGAGCAGGACCAGCTGAATTTAACCAGAATGTAAATGTGTGTGTTGCATTTCTGGTTGACACGTTTCTTCATTTAGTTAACTAGAAGTGGCAGACAGCAGGTTAAATCACACACACACACACACACACACACACACACACACACACACACACACACACGCTTCTTCAGTATCGTAACTAAACATAAATGCTCACATTTGATTTTAATCACAAACATCTGTGAAACATCTGTTTTATTCAAGAGAACAAAATTTATGGATCCGATTCCAGCGAGTCGCTCAGGTCCAGAAGCCACGACTCACTTCCTGTTTCCTCTGACCCTAACGTGATGTACGATGATGTCATCAGAGCTTTGGAATGAAATCTGTTCCAGGGTAAAACTACACTTCTCACAGTTCCTGGAATGTTTGGAAGATGAAGTCTAATCTTCTGCTTGTGCCTCATCAGAATGTAGACTTGTTCTCTCGCCTGTGAGCCTCTCCAGGTGGATGTCGGTGCATCAACGTGCAGATTATAATTTAATCTGCAGCAGAAACTTCAAACATGCCTGAAAGTGAAATTTAGCCATGTGGAACAAATCAGGAGAAACAGGAAGCCGCTGAGTCACCCAGCCGGACCAGCTGGAGGCTGGAGCATGACTCAGCAGAAACTCACCACAGCTTCTTTTGGTGAGAGGAAGGAAGACGCTGTGGTAACTCAACGTCCTCGTGCTCTGAATATAAAATGTAATCAGAAGCTAAATAAAGCTGGTTTTCCAGACATCTCGCTCCCAATTTGACCCTAAAAACTTTTCTTCTCAACACCTCGCTTCCCACCTTCAGCTGATTTTCTGGTTCCAAAGAGAAAACGTTCATTAGTTCTGGAGACACGAGGATGAAGTCTAGGGTGGAGGATCAGCTCTTCCCTCAGACCGGAGTCCACCTTTCACCCAGTTCCTTTTCTCTCTGGAGTTCATGGAGATAACATCTGGATTTGATGTCAGGTCAGATGTTCCAGGATGACACAACCAGGCCTCCAAGGCCCGCTCTGGACCATTCCGTGAGATCAGAATCACTTTTAGGGGCAAAAAGCGATTCAGTGAATGAAATCCAGGGAAATGTTCTGTTTACCCTGGAGGTCAAATTAATCCCAGAGGAATCGCATCGGCTTTCACAAGAAATTCCCTTCCTCTGAATGGGAAGTGTGCCGGTGTTCCGGTGAGAGTCGAGCCGTGACAGCATGTGCCGACTTCACCATCAGGAAGAGGAACAGCTTTTATCCACATCTGGCTTCAGGAGAGAAACTAGAAATAAAGCAAATCAAACGTCCAGAATGCTCCAAACAGGAGATGCTTTTATTTTGAAAGGTCTGCAGAGGACATCCTCCAGAACAGCAGAAGAAATAAAAAAATAAAATCTGTTTAAACACACGATGTTTTCGAAAATCACTGTAATAAATTATAATAAATACAAACTGATCCCAGAGCTGCTCAGAGCTCAGCTTCCAACATGAAAACAAACAAAAACAAACAAAACAAACAAAACTGGTTTATTTGAAAGTCCTGAGCAGCTGGAGTCTTCCTCTCAGCTCTTCGCTCCTCTTCATCAGCTCATCCTTCGTCCTCCGTATCCTGTCCTCCTCCTCGGAGAGCTCCATGATGAACTCCGTGGCCTTCTTCAGGATCACCACCTTGGACGTCTTGTCCTTGTCCTTCAGCTCGGGGACTTCGTCCCTCAGGGACAGAAAGCTCACCCTCAGCTCGTTGCGTCGCTGTCTCTCCAGGACGTTATGAGTCCTGCGTTTGTCTTTGTCTTCTCCGTCGTACCACGGACTCCAACACCGCCGCCTTCTGCTCTGCCCCGTTCCCGTGGCCTCTGTCCTCCGCCGTTTCCCAACAGGCCGTGGGGCGGCGTAGTTGTGCTGCTGGACGTTGATGTGAGAGCGTTTGAGGACCAGAGGTGAAGCTTCAGAGGGCCGAGACGTTCTCCGCCTGTCCACCGTCACTACGTCAATCTCTGCTTCCTCTCCATCCTCCTCTTCCTCTTCTGGGTGGAAAAACAAAACATGTGGATGTGAATGCAGGAAACGGATCCAGCTGTTTGTTTGACCTTCGACCTGCAGGTCGGCTTCTCACGTCCTTGTGAAGCATCGGCTCTACTCAAAAACTAAAAACATAAAAAGATGAGAATGAAAAATCCAACCTCGTCACCGGACTCCTCTGTTCTCTCACATTTACGGTTTTATTCCAACGCGGACCAACCCAAGAGTTAGGGTTAGGTTCTAGGGTTCTAAGATTCTAGGGTTCTAGGTTCCCACAAACTAAAACCAGATGTCTGATGAGTTCATGGCAGATGCTCTACTTATGTTTCCTACATTTCTCAGGGTGCATGAGGACATGGGTGTGTGCAGCGTGCAGCAGGCATCTGATCTCAGGAGCTTGGGTGGTGTTAAAGGCAGTAGGGTTTTTCACAATAAAAGCCTGATTCCCACCTGATTCGCTGTCGCTGCTGCTGAGTTGTGGCGATTCCAGATCCAGCTCTGATCCCATTTCCATCCCTTCTCCATCCAAGTTCTGCTTCTCGCTGGTTGTGGCAAACGGGAACACAACACCTGGGTTGATGCATTTGGATGCTGCAGTGTGGAGGTCCTGCAGGTACTCTGGTTTCACCTGGGACCGGCTCACTTGAGGTTCAGAGGACACATCTGGAATGCTGTCGGTGTCCGACGAGTCCCGGCGACTCTGGAGGGACGCCAGCCTCTTGGAGACCATCCTCTCCAGTTTGGAGGCAGCTGCAAAGCTGCTGCTCCACATGCAGTCCTGGATGATGAAGGACTGGAGGAATGATGAGGAGTTGGTGTCTTCATCCAGGAGGTCAGACACAGCGTCCAGGTGCTCTGCAGCAGACAGGTGGGAGTCATTCTGGGGGGGCGTCCGGCTGGGGGACAAAGGGGGGGTCAGCAGGAGCTCAAACTTCTTCCAAATGTCCTCACCTGGACCAGGGAGGAGGTGGCTCTGAGGAGGGGGGTAGAAATCCTCCTCCTCTCTGTCCAGGAGAAAGTAGGGCTGGACGGTGTCGTAGTCGTAGTTCCTACTGGTCAACGTCGGCGCCATCATGGCCGCCTGAGGAGGAATCAACACCCGTTAAACAAGAAAAGTAATCCTGAAGGAAGACTCATGAACAAAACCCACATCTTCTGTCTGGAGTTTTGTTTTGATTTATTTACACATGAAGATAAATTATGGATCAATAATCCGCTGTTTACTTTAATCTGGTGGGATTACCCAATGATTAACTAATGACCGGATTTCAGTCAGAATTTCTAGGTAATCTGTGAGACTCTAGTTGCAGAAGCAGCATGGAGCAGGTTAGTTAAAGAAACAGTAATTCACCAGATTATGAGAGATTAGTTTGACTAAACTGTAACTTCAGGATTTTAGTGGACTAATCCGAGATCCATCTTCTGTAAACCGGAATAAAACTACGGAATCTCAGGTGTTTCCTGACAGGTGAGGCGTCCTGCAGGTGTTTAGTCTCAGTTTAAATAAAACATAAATAAATCTTCAGATGTTTTTATTTGTTATTAAAGTTCAATCATCAGAAACTCCAGCAGCTGTACTCACCTTTATGAAAAACAAACAAAACTTTATCAAAAAACGGAGAAAATTCCAAAGATTTCAGCAGAATTAAATCCTGAGAGTATCTGAGATCCGGGACCAGCAGCGTGGATGAAGGATGCTAGGATCAGATGTGAACAACTGAAGATCTGATCTCAATCTGCCTTTCCTCGTCCTCATGATGCAGCTCCATTTATCACCTCAGAGGCTTTCGTTCTTCTGCCTACGTCACGGCTTTCCACGCCAAAAACCTTCGACGTGATAACATAAAACGCGCTCGTATTGTGTTTGTGACGACATGAGTAATATCCTCCATGTTGGTTTCGGTTATTACCATGACGGCGATGAAGTAGCGGAGCCTGAAGACGCGCCGCAGGGAGGGACTAGCTTCCGCCGCGGAGGAGCGGTGAGGTGGTCCGGGTGGTCCGCGCTGACGGTAAATGATGCAAAGGAACGAAGTTCCGGGAAATCCGTGATAATCCGGGGTTGAGGTCATGAAAACAACAACCAACAAACGAGATTGAAGCGAGACTGAATAATTATTTACAAAAAATCAGAAAAAATAAAAATGCAAAACTTTTAACTTTGTGTTAAACAAAAGTTTCTTAAAATTTAAATTTGAATAGATAAATAAAATAAATAAAAAATGTATAAATAAAATAAAATTTGCTTAGTGTAAGGATGAGTGTCCGATCAAAAGTTTCATTTGAAAATCAAATAAGATTAATCATAAACATATTTGATGTAAATGGAAATTAAATATTTATTCATCACAGATTTATTAGTTTATAATGAAAACACACAAAAAAAATAAATATAACCAAAATTCAAGGTTGTTTCATGAATGTTCTGCTTTCATGTTTGTTCATTTGTTTAGTTAAATGCATATTAGAGAGAATCTGGACACCAATAAAACGTATGAAATGAATAATTTATATATTTTATTGAAACAACTTCAGATTCTAACATGTTAGAAAGGATCTTTTGTTTTAAATGTTTTCTTCATAATTCTAAATTAAAAATCAGATAGATTAGATGAATGCGTTTGAGATAAATACATTTTAGCAGAAAAAAGAGTGAATGATCCTCTCGCGCCCTCTGCTGGAGGAGGACTGAATCTGCTTCCCTTCAGAATATTTTTATTTTTTTGTTGATGTTTTTCATATTTCTGCACTCTGATTTAAACAACCAGCTGTTGAACCAGGTGAATATAAACATCTAACACAGCTAGCTGCTACCAGTGAATCTCTACTGGTTATATTGGTTTTGTTTCATATATTTTGATGGTATTCTTTTGCCGAACTCTTATAACCTAGAATCTAGAGACCGTCATTTTCCAAAGCAAAAATTATGTTGCTTTGCAAATACACAGGATGACTTGCCAGGCTAGAACTCTTTTTATCACATATCACAAATATTGTATTGTTTACAAGTCAAACTATACTATAAAAACAAGAATTAAGGCTTAAAACCCGACTCAAACAGCTTCTAACCCCATATCCAGCTCAGAACCACTGAACCAGTCCAGAACTGCTGATCTAATCCAGAACCACTGGTCCAGTCCAGAACTGCTGATCTTATCTAGAACTACTCATCCAGTCCAGAACTGGTGATCGAGACCTAATTTATTTCTATTTCCTTCTCAGCAGCCTGACCTGAACTCCTTTAGGTGGTTCCAGGTCAAAGGTTCTTCAGATTTTACACATGAGGACCCACAGCAGGGAGAAGGCCTTTGCCTGTGGAACGTGTGGTAGACGTTTCCTCACATGAAGACTCACAGCGATGAGAAGACGTTTTCTTGAGAAAGATTTGGTAAAAATGTAAATAAAAATATGATTTGAGAGTCCACATAAGGACCCACACTGGTGGTAGGGTCATGTGATCTACCGGTCTCTCGTCTGGAGCTGAGTGAGAGACAGAAAATGAGCGGCCAAGTCAGGAGGACATGTGATCATGCTTAAAATCACTTTTTGATCAGAAAATCGTTGTTCAGCGCTGGCTCACAACTTTCTCCAGGTGCTTTAGCTCCTCCTCCATCATCTAAAGGGGCCAGGGACGGAGAGCCAAAGCACAACACCATAAAAACACAACAGGGACCCAGCAGTCCTTTAGCAGACATTAGGGGTGTGAGGTGTCTATCATCTGAAGCTTTAATCCTGAGAAACGTGAATGTTTCAGTCATCAGCCTGATTTACCAGTGCTGTGGTACTGATCGTTTCAGCCCAGCACATAAACGACCCGCTGACAGGTGTGTTTGTAAAACAAAACAACCTAAATGACTTCTCTGTTTAAGATTCACTGCAGCAACGAAGACGTGAGAAATGTGGGCAAGAGAATATTTTACTTCTCACATCAGACTCCAGAAATAAAGTAATGTGACTGCAGCTCCACCCGAGTCATGGCTGGGTATGTCTGAAGGCTCCAGTTTGTTAAGCTTGTTCCTTCACTATAATCTCAGATTATTCTCAGACTCTAAACTGTGTCCTACAGGCTACAAGTAAAAGTTGAATCATTTCTACAAAAAAACCAAACATGTTCTCTGCCTCTCTTCATTGTGGCCGTTGGCGAACAGCAACCAAACACACGGATCCCTAAAACAGACCTGCTTTGTTCTGCTGCTGTCGTTAGAATGATCCACAGTTACTTATCTCACGTCTAAAACCTCATCTGACTCAGTGCAACGTGAAACCGGTTCCATGTGACTTCATGCTTTGGTCGTGGATGATAAATCTGGTGAATTTCTGCTTCATTTGTTTCTTAATAAACCTCCAGGAACAACTTAACCTTTGAACTCTACGTTCCTTCAGCTGATATCTGCCTTCTTTTCTCCTCGACGTGAACCTCTCAGAAGTCTTGCCTCTTCCTCCAACTTTATTCCACAGAAAGTTTGCTTTCATCCCAAACCCTCAAACATCCCATCTGCATTCATGATAAATGACCTGCTTGTAAAGGGTCAGAGGACTCCAAAGTGCTTCAGCATTCATCCATTCACATTGTTCTGCCGCACTTTCCTGCAGCTGAAGCCTTACATCTTCATCTGAGCATTTCCCCCAGAGTTTGCCTTACAAGGCATTCATTCCTACCAGAGACCACTGCAGACGTGGTGACTGAATGAACCACACTTTCAAATGAATAATTTGAAGACTCTGCTGCTGTCAGCTGATTTACAGCTAAACCCAGAAATAATCCTAAACTGTGAAGGTTAGTGCTATGGAGCTCAATAAAGTTTAGATTAGAAATGTTTAAAAGCATCTTTAAAAGCAGGTGATACCGTATGTTCAAATCCGCTAACCCTGCTGTACTGCTAAGTCCTGGCCGCAGCACACTATCAAAAATCTATTCAACTCAATTCAAAGATACTTTATTAATCCCAGAGGGAAATTAGAGTTTCAGTACACACAATTCTGAGATCAGACATACAGTACATATGACAAGAATTGGTGACTGTGGTCATTCGTAACCTTAATAGAGATCAGAGGGGTTTACATGAGGATTGAGTCAGGTGGAGGAAAAAAAGGCACTTCAGAGTTACCTTCCACAGGGATGGCAGCTTTGCTATGCAAAAAACACCTCAGACAGATATGCAACAGACTTCAGACATCACACAACGTAAGTGTCCACTAGGTGGGGAGGTAGGGTTGGGACTCTCCTCACATCAGTGCATGCAGCCACGATAAGCAGCGCTTATCACCTCCGTTTGGGCAGGAGAGGGAGGCAATTGGGTTAGAGAGCACATTGACTCCTGGACACAGTTCCACGGCCTTTACCGGTCACAGTCCCGCTCAGGCTGGGATAGGGAGACAGAGTTGCCATGGCTACGGCAGCATTCCACATTTCTTCTGAGGGGGAGTATTCACTTCAGCCTCACAGGCCCAAGGGCACCAGATTCAGATAAGAAATTGTTTTGGGGACAGACAGAGATAATTTCCTCTCTGCCTTAAAGTTTTGTTTTGTTGGTCTCAAACCCCTCTAGATCCAATAATGGCATAAATTAATCTATTCCCAACCATGCTGGCGCATTAACTCTCTCCTTGATCGAATCAATCTTCTGTGCCAGAGCCTGAATCTCAGCCAATGTTCCAAGTTTACGACTCATCTCAACAATTACATGAGTTTGTGCGTTCACAGCGCGGCGTAATCCATCCCTGAACTTCGGGATTGAGCCAATATTCCTCGAAAGCTCATTAAGCCAGGTAACTGCCAGGCAACCGCTCAGGCCAAACAGCAGGAATCCCAACACCAACACCATGAATATCCAGATGTCTTCAGAATCCTCTACAGACAGTTGAGAGAGGCAGATCAGGTTCCACTGTTTCCAGGAGTCCAGCTGGTAGCCTGGCAAGCCAAACTAAATAAATGTATTATTTAGTCTGGCCACGCTCCATTGACGGCTCTTGGTTGTGGGGCGGGTTCTACCGTTGTCTTTCAAATGATCTCCACATTCCACTGGACAATGAATGTGACATACTCTTGTTTCACTCTGTTGCATCATCCCACCCACCAGGCATATAGAGTGCCCTGATTGGCCCACAAAGCGGATAAAGCTCTGTGATTTGTTCACTAAGCAGATAGAGCACTATGATTGGCCCACCATTATGGACCAATCACAGCTCTTTATGTGTTTGAAACCCCTCTAGAGAGCTGTGATTGGCCAGCCAGAATGCTGCTAGGGGCTGCAGAGGTTCCAGTGGAGCGTTCCTAGACCAAACTTTGCAAAGCAAGAATTTGGTCTAGTTCACTAGGCTACCCAGCTGGCTCTGTCCCAGAGGGGCATCCGGGAGCCCCTTCTCCCGTTCTCAAAATTGTGTCAATCGTGTTGAGAGACCAACTGACCAGATCCATTTTTAATAATTTCCAGTTTCCATAAAAAATGCAGAAGTGCCGTCCACACAAGGACAGACAAAGAGCCTTGGGATAAGAGGGGTAGGAGAGGAGGAAAAAGCATCTGTACTCTCCAAGAGCCGGAAGAAGCACTGTTCTACATCTGGATGTGGAACAGTGCTATTATTAATAATATTATAATAACTTTATTATTATAATTGTTAGTATTAGTATGTAGATTAAACTCTGATTAAACACAACCAGCATTACACATAAACATTCATGAATAGATCACAGTAACACACAAAAAGCTGATTTAGAAGGAAACTCGTTCTGCATCTGCTCCATGAGCCCGTTCACACCGATGACAAAAACATGGTTCTGGTTCTTCAGCATCGTCTCACTGACTGATATTTAAATATTGTGGTTGGAGAGTTTTGTTTTCATTAGTGTAGAAACATTTTCTTTTATTCTTTGTTTTCCCTAAAGAGGAAGAAGTCCTACTGAACCAGGAGGAACCAGAACCTCCCTGGATAAAGGAGGAGCTCTGCAGCAGTGATGATGAGGAGCAGCTGGTTCTGAAGCAGG